TGCTCAGAGCTCCATCCAACCTGGCCTTGAACACTGCCAGGGAGGGGGCAGCCACAGCTCCTCTGGGCAATCTGTTCCAGTGCCTCACTGCCCTCATGGTGAAGAATTATTTCCTAATATCTAATCTAAATCTGCCCTCTTTTAGTTTAGAGCCATTCCCCCTTGTCCTATCACTGCACACTCTTGTGAAAAGTCCCTCTGCGTCCTTTCTCTAGGCCTCCTTCAGGTACTGGAAGGCTGCTGTAAGGTCACCCCGGAGCCTTCTCTTCTGCTGGCTGAACAGCCCCAACTCTCTTAGCCTGTCCTCGTAGGAGAGATATTCCAGCCCTCTGGTCATCTTTGTGGCCCTCCTCTGGACCCACTCCAACACATCCAAGTCTTTCTTATGTTGGGGGCTCCAGAGCTGGACGTGGTACTCCAGGTGGGGTCTCACAAGAGCGGAGCAAAGGGGCGGAATTCCCTCCCTCGACCTGCTGGCCACGCTTCTCTTGATGCAGCCCAGGATATGGTTGGCTTTCTGGGCTGCAAGTGCACATTGGTGGCTCATGTTGAGCTTCTCATCCACACCCCCAAGTCGTTCTCCTCAGGGCTGCTCTCGAGCCACTCTCGGCCCAGCCTGTACTTGTGTTTGGGATTGCCCCGACCCCTGTGCAGGACCTTGCACTTGGTCTTGTTGAACTTCACAAGGTTCACACAGGCTCACCTCTCCAGCCTGTCCAGGTCCCTCTGGATGGCATCCCTTCCCTCCAGCGTGTCAACCACACCACACACCTCCTTGTTATCCATGTGCCTTAGCATGGTTTCGAGGAGGATCTGCTCCATCATCTTGCCAGGTACAGAGGTGAGACTGACTGGCCTGTAGTTTCCCAGGTCTTCCTTTTTCCCCCTTTTAAAAATGGAGGTGATATTGCCCCTTCTCCAGTTGATGGGGACCTCCCCAGACTGCCACGACCTCTCAAATATGATGGAGAGTGGTTTGGCAAATTCGTCTGCCTGTTCCCTCAGGACCCGCGGATGCATCTCATCAGGCCCCATGGACTTGTGCACCTTCAAATTCCTTAGGCAATCTCCAGGCTGCTATAACCTATTCTGTTATTTTGGTCTCAGAGATGGATTTACTAGTAGATTTGATTTGATAATAGGAATGAAATAAACATCTAATCCTATTCTATTTTCTGCATGCCTGCTTCCTGAATTTGTCTTTGGTCAGATAAGTGAGAATGGGGAAAAAGAGTGCTGTCACGGGGCTGGTCTTTGCTACCTTTTCTGATTCTAATCCTGAATTCTCCGTCTTCTGTGGCTGCCTACATTGCGCTCACTAAACCTGGTATACATTTCTCTTTTCCACTTCTGAAACAGATTTAGTGTTGCTCAGAACAATAGTATCTACTTTGTACCAGCACCTCTGTCGAGTAATTTGTGTTGTGGTGTGCTTTCCAGTCCTCACAGCTGCTGAATAGATCTAACCCATCCACTCAGCTTTCTCCTGTTGGAGAAAACTGTTCATTTTAGTAATACGGTCTCCTGCAACATTATTTTTGCCTGCAGAAGACTGGTCTTTCCTAAAACTTTGTGTTTGTTGTTTTTTGGTTTTTTTTTTAATTGACAGCTATGACTGTCCCACAAATGGTATGCTACAGAGGCATGATTAGTTCTTCCTTTGAAGCCACATCTCACTGGAATCTACATATATATGTTCTAAAAAATGAAGGCATTTTCTTTATCACTTTATTTTTTCCATAACAAAAATGCATTACATTTAAGGGCAGAGTTATTTTCATAGTTTCATTAAAAATCATGGTGAATGTCTGCTCTATGTCTGTGGGGTAGGTTGGTTCTTTTGTGTTTTTTTGTTAGTGTTTTTTTTTTTTTTTTGAAAAAAAACTTTTTTTTTTCCATGTGATTATGACAGGTTGGATGAGATAGTTATGTTAAAATGACCTTGTCAAAAATCACACTGTTGTCCATTCACTTAGGTAGCAGTGCGGAATTCAGGAGTACTAGCGTTTAGGATTGCTGGATTTGTAGAGATCCCCGAAATAAACATTGATATGGTAAGTATGAAGAAATTGTGGCAATTGGTAAGATTGATAGTGTTTTCCTTTATCTATATGTCAAAATGACTCATCCCTGGTTCATATTTTTAAATTTTTCCTATATTAACTTCCTGAGAAAATTATCAAAGAAAAGAATTTAGGAAGAGAAATTAAAAACTAAGTGTATATGTAACTGTTGCACTAAATGATAGCTGACAGCTTTAGCTTTTGAACTTGATAATCTAGAAAAAGTGTGTTAAATGCAAGAAGGGAAAAGGAATCCACTGATCTGCTTACTGAATGATGAAAACTTTCCTGATGGTGTAACTGGACTTATGTGTTGGATTTTAAACTGTTGCAGTTTACATCCTGGAAAGATTTTAAAGATAGGGGTTATGCAAGACAATTGATTAACTAAGGCTGTTGTCGTATTGTAAATTGTGACTCTTTGAACAATTATAATTTTCACATGCTGTTCAATTATAAACTTGACTTCGCTATGATGCTTTTTTTTTTTTTTTTTTAAACTTACAGGAACTAATTGACTTTGGTGGTGTTTATGTTGGTTCTACAAAATCAATTCCCTTTTTGCTGCAGAACAAAGGACAAGCATGTACCAGAGTGGAGTTTGATTTTTCTAAGTATAAGGATTTTAAATTGAATGCTAATGACTATTCAGGTATTTGCTTTTGCTGTATTAGAGTTTTCATTAAATAAATAATCATAGAATGGTTTGTGTTGGAAGGGACCTTATAGATCATCTCATTCCAACCCCCCTGCCATGGGCAGGGACACCTTCCACTAGACCAGATTTCTCAAAGACCCGTCCAGCATGGCCCTGAACAATTCCAGGGATGGGGCATCCACAGCTTCTCTGGGCAACAACTAAGCTCACCACCCTCGTAGTAAAGAATTTCTGTCTTTGGGTGGAAAATGCTAAGAGGAATTCTGTCAGACTATTTCTGACATATAAACTTTCTGATTTAAAAAACCCACAAACTTAAAGCAATTATTTTAAAAGTGCTGCTTAATATAAATTAAGATGAGATGTCTTTGCCTGTAAAATGACATTTGCCAAAAATAAGCGTTTGGAAAATGTCAGATTGCCTGCAGATTTTTTTTTTACTTTTTTTTTCCCCCTATAGTTGCTAAGGTATATGAAAAAAAAGAAGTTTGAGTACCATCTCACGAGTGAAAATAAAAAAAAAAAAAAAAATTTTGATTACCATCTCAAGAGTAAAAAAAAAAAAAAAAAAAACCAAAACAACCTAAACCAAACAACTGTACTAATTTCCTATTTGTGGACTTCCACCCACTGTTTTGGCAATATTTACCGTTCAGTTAATTTATTATCAGTAGAAGGGTCCGGAATTCTCCTTTTCGTAATGGAACAGGGTGTCTGCAGGTTAATCACAGGACCTCTGTTCTGCGTGATGAGAATGACATTGGGGCAATATGTGGAATTAGATTGCTGTTCTTTGTTTCTTGATAGGACTAGTGCAGATTCCTATCCTTCACTCATTGTTGCACATCCCTTTTCTGCTTCAGTCATGACATCTCCTTTGCTGTTCCAACATCTTTATTCATGAGAGAATTTTGCAGCTACCCTTATATGGCCTCTTGTCCCTGTGAGCTCAGGAAATCAGGACTCTTTCTTTTGCAGGACACTATGATAATACTTAGTTGTTTCTTTATGTAGAACTATATGTGGATGATGAAAAAAAATGATCTTACAAGAACAGAGGGGTTTTCTTACAATGTGGTGGACTTCAAAGGGAGGGTGAGGGCTCCTAGTCAGTCATCTTAGCTTGGAAGAGAACTGTTAAGACTGTCTACAACAGGCATCTGTCCAGCATGGGAACAGACACATTGCATGTGATTTCTAGATCAGAGTTTGAGCTTGAATCAAGTAATGTGACATCCAGTCAGGTCCAGTACTGTTCAAATGGTGAATACTGGGTGAATACTGATCCTGGTGTTCCAGGATGTGTACTGATCTCAGAGAAATGTTAACCTTGTTTATTGGAAACCCATGCTTCTGCCAGTGCCTTAAAATTGGACATGAAAGTCCAAAAAATGAAGCAAGCCTTACTGGTAAACTTCTGTGGTGTAGATTATGCCTACAAGTTATTTAGAGAAACAGTTTCAGCCGACTGTTTTTCTCCCTGTGGTATTTAGTTTTCATTAGTTTACTATTTTTGTCTAGCACTTTTCTCCAAAGATAAACGACAGTGGTTTTTTTTTCTGAAATAGTGTGTTCTCACAAATCAATAGCTTTCATTAAAGTTGCTGGTGATTAACGCTTCTCAAAATTACTTCCAGAATCCTTGTGAGAGATACTGTATTTATTTGTAACTTTGTGAGAAATGTTTATCATACAGATATGTAGATACCTTATGTTGGAAATAACTTTGCCATACTGCAACTATTACAAAGTTGATATTTAGTGTAATAACGTCTGTAATTTGATTCTGAATTTTGTTTGACAGTGGTTGACTGCTGTTCTTCAAAGCCTTACTTGTATTCGGTTAACTTAAAGGGAAAGTCAGCTTTGCAATGCTTGTTGTCCTTCATGCCAAAAGAGGTAGGTTTATGGGGCAGTGGTGAGTATGCTCAATTAAAATCATACTCTGTGATATTTCTATGGTGAAAGAATATAGACGTTTTAGATACACATTCTAGTGATTTTAGTGTGTGCAATAGTTTTATAATAGTAATCCAATTTTTAAGAAAACAAGTTCTGACATAACCTTTATGTAACTTTTGCTGCTTTCCTTAAATGTTTGCATACACAAAGAAAACACACTTTCTCAAAGACTTAAAAATAGAAAGGGTATAACCTTAAATTGAAATGTTGTACCACACATTAAATCATTCAACAAACTGACAGCCGTTTTGTTTTTGCAGCTAATTGTGATTTAACTCTCAGATGACTGAGGGATTGTATAAGTAGTTTTATTTGTCCTAAAGATTGGCAAAGTGACTTTCTGATTGAGCTGTTTGAGGGAAGTAAGTTGAAGATGTGAGACTTTCTGGGCTAGTTTTACATCAGGAAAATAGCATTTCATTGGCAGTGGTTGTCAACAGAGAGTGCTATAGCAAATTTTAAATCTAAACATATTGAACAGCGCTTTAGGAATGGAGGGTTTGGGATTTCCACATATTTGGAGAGCAGTGAACTGAAAGAAAACTTAGTCGTTGATATTATGAACCAGGTTCAGAACAAGCAACTGAGGAGCACTTCTACAGCACATAAACCTGTTGCATTAGCTGCATTTTTACCTTAAAAGAAAAAAAAGAGAGAGAATATTGGAGACAGTGCATTTTGGAAGGGTCAACAATATTCTTTTCACTTCTTCCCTCCTGCCCTCTGTACTTTAGTTTTTGAATAAAAGCAAATTCCTTTGTTCAAAGCATCATTCAAATAATATTTGCATATTGCAGGCTGTCTGGTAACACTGTGATTTTCTTCCTCTTATTATTGTCAGCTAAGACTCTGTGTACATGTGGAAGCTATTGTGAAATAACTGATGGTGTGAATTTATAGCATGTTCACTGCACTGAGATGATTTTTCCTGACGGAACATAGAATCATAGAATGGTAAGGGTTGGAAGGGCCCTTAAAGATCATCTGGTTCCTACCCCCCTGCCATGAGCAGGGGCATCTTCCACTAGAACACGTTGCTCAGAGCTCCATCCAACCTGGCCTTGAACACTGCCAGGGAGGGGGCAGCCACAGCTTCTCTGGGCAACCTGTGCCAGTGTTTCACCACCCTCATTGTAAAAGATTTCTTCCTATTATCTAATCTAAATCTGCCCCCTTGTAGTTTAGAGCCATTCCCCCTTGTCCTATCACTACACACCCTTGTGAAAAGTCCCTCTCCATCCTTCCTCTAGGCCCCTTTCAGGTACTGGAAGGCTGCTGTAAGGTCACTCCGGAGCCTTCTCTTCTGCTGGCTGAACAGCCCCAACTCCCTTAGGCTGTCCTTATAGGAGAGATACTCCAGCCCTCTGGTCATCTTCGTGGCCCTCCTCTGGACTCGCTCCGACACATCCATGTCCTCCTTATGTTGGGGGCTCCAGAGCTGGACGTGGTACTCCAGGTGGGGTCTCACGAGAGTGGAGCAAAGGGGCGGAACCATCTCCCTCGACCAGCTGGCATCAATGGATTAATGAGAATGAGCTATTTCAAACTAAATTAATTTCCTCCTGTAGCATAGCAGGCCTTGAGGTTAGGGGAGAAGCAGTAGATGTCGCATCTTTTAAGTATCTTGACACTGTCTGGTGCAACATTCTTATAAGCAAGGTAGTCAGATTTAGACTAGATACAGTGTTAGGCAGGCATGTAATTTTTTGCAAGATGGTACGTACAGAATATCACCAGTCACCTATTGTGAAACTGGAGAGAAGCTCAGTAGGCGGGAAGGATCAGTAATAGAAATGCGAGACTAGATAATGCTGTTGGAGTAATCTGTGTGTATGGTATTGTAGATCACAACCTGAAAAAGAATTAAGACTAGAGGCAGACATCGTACTGATTTATATAAATAGGAATGATGTTAGTGAAGCAAGTAAAATAATTATTCTAATCAGAGCTGAGAACACTTCAGCTGGAACACTTTTCCAGTTTGGGATGCTGTGCTTGAAGAAGCAACTGGAAAAATTTCCCTTGGAAAGAAAGTCCAAAAGAAAGCAATAGAAATGATCAGAACTCCAGAAAGCACGAACTGTAAAAAAGGGAACTAACTGCCAGTATTCTGTGGAATGTAATTTATATATGCTTGTTCACTGCAGTAGATAGGTAAGAAGTAGTGGGTTTAAATTACGCCAAGTGGATTAGATTAGATTGGATATAAAAACTCGTTGTACCAAAAAGAGTCAAATATTGGAATAAAATACCTGAGAAGATATCTCCATGATTGAAAACTCTTAAGAGGGGATTGGACAAGCATCACCAGAAATGCTTCACTCTGTCCCAAATGGACAAGTCATCTGTCAGACAATCACATTTATGCATTGTAAAATGACATTCTAACAGCATGTTGTTGCTCCAAAGACAAAATTCTGGCCCCACTAAGGCCAGTGTTAAGGCTCTTAATAATTGTCATGGTACTTCTTAGTGGCTGTCTCTTGCTAAGTGTGAAATTCAAACCAGTTAAACAGTAATTAATTACAAAGAAGTATAGATTTTTGACTTAAAATGAGGAAATTTGAATGTGGAAAGGCTAGCTTCTCTTTTAAATAAAAAGAAGTACATAAAATAATGTAGAGCCATGTAAAACTTAAGATTTAACAGGTAACAATAGTTTAACTTCCAAGGCCTCAATTTCAATTTATTTTCATAAAACAATTTTACTTAAGTCTTGTGAAGTATTTAACAGAAGTATTTCTAATCTACACTGTAGATGCAGTTTTCTTTTTTTTTTTTTTCCTTTAGGCTCAGTTGCTAAAAGCACATGATTGTGTATAAGATCTAAACCACATACATGTTGATGGGAGCCATAACATGAAATCTGACAGCTCTGTTCCTGCTTATGGCATTAGATTTCTCTGGTGATAGTGCTGCTGTGCAAAGTGACCACTTATTTACTACTGTAGTGGAAAAGAGTGTAGTGGAAGGTCAGTCATCCCCCTTACAGTCTAGTGAAATATCATCTCTCTAAAACCCTACATGCCCCCCACACCAAGTATCAAAACAGGGATTTTATTTGCCTCCCAGTACTCTTATTTCCCATTGTTACAATTCAGCTCTATTACTATTTTATTTTCTTGTCAAGCTGCAGGATGGATTAAGAGTAAAAATGTTGCTGCTGACACTGCTATAAATTCAAGTGATTAACTAAATTAATATTTCTGAAGACTGCTGAAATAGCAGATGGTTCTTTATGTGTAATTTCACTTGTTATCTGCACTGTTGTTCAGTATTACTGTTCGTTATTGATAAGCATCTCCAACTATCATTTGATACTGGTGGTGTGGTAACCTAACTGAAGACAAGGTTGTACTTGTTGGCAATCTGCTTTAATTATGATATAACTTAGAAAAAAAAATTCTTATATTTGACTGGATCTGTTTTGTGACTGCTCTTCTAAAAAAAAAGATCTGTAGAATCTATTGCATCTTCTGATTACAGATTTTTCTACAAGGTGTCATCCTTTTTTAATTTTTCAAACTCTAAGCGTTTTTCCAGTCTTAAGAATAACTTTTTGGCAAACAGAATAACTTCATTCAGAAGTAAGCGAATAAAGAACTTCAAAAAGGAGATCTTCCTGGGGCACCTTATACCTCATAACCAACTAATCAGTGCTGCTTTAATGAAATGTCTTTATTTCAGTTTCCCCTTCTCTCCATATGCTTACAGTCTTTCTGTCTCCCTTTGCCCTTGGTGCTGGGTGAGCTCACTGCACAACCAGTGCTTCCCATCTGCTGTGGGTGTATTGCTGCCTGCCTGTCAGGGGGCGGCTTACTGATTGCTAGGCAAGACATGCCCAGATACACTTAGAGCTTACAACTCGCTGGTGGTCCCAAGTTAATGTCACTGAGAGTGCAGCACTGACAGATGGCAGCAATAGCACTGGCTAGTGTTAAATGAAGACAACTTTGAAAACTAAATGTCTTGCCCAGTATGGCATGACTAAAGGAAGCATCTGGAACTATATGTAACCCCCAGGATGCTGTAGCTTTTCTCTTTTTTAACTCCTGCAAAGTAGAATACTAATAAAAAGCATAGTTCTGTTAAGAAAGTGGTCCAGGTACCAGCATCTCTTACTGCGATCAGAAACTCTCAGTAGTTACTGATTCTTAAAACATTCCCCAATGGATCCAAGTTCTTGATCGTTCTACCTCATCTAGATTTCCTCCTTTTCTCACCAGATTTCTTCATTCCCTTTCCTGACTTTGCAGTCTTGAAAAAACTCTAATCTGTATATTGAGCTTACCCTATTCAGGTTTCACGCTTGCAAGCACTGTTTCCTGCCTCTGCACTTGAGCAGCTGTTTCTCTGATCCCATCACCATTTTCTGGACAACTGCTCCCACACAGCTTACCTCCCAGCTGCTACAAACCTTCTGTATCCCATCGAGTCACATTCTTTTCTGCCTGCCTTCTGGTTCTACTATAACTTCCTGCTGTTGTTGTAGTCATTGCTGAAAACACAACCCTATAAACCAACAAAAACCCGCTGTATTGATGATGTTGCTGAGAAAGTAGATACTAGAATTGAGGAAAAATTGAAACAAAATAATTCATAAGCGATTTAAAAAAAAACCCACAAAAGCATGAAATTATTTTAGTATGCTTTAAAATTTTATTAAAACTACTTAAATTATTAACATAAGATTTCAAGTAGTTTAGTGTTGAATGCAGTCTTGAATTCTTGTGCTAGAAATCAACTTAATAGTAGCTTTCCTTCTGCCTCAAAAAGCTTCAAATTAACAAACGAAGTAAATACATAGGAACTCTGAATATCTTCTACAATTCTCACTAAAAGTTAGTATTTACAAATGGATGTGACATCAAAAGACCTCTTAGAGATAAAGTATATTGGCATGCTAATAATATATAAAAAATTTTGAGATAATTCTCCCAGTATTCTAAGTGGTAAAATGAAGTTGATGCATTATAAATGAGGCTGGAATGCTGCTCAGGCATGGCCTGGCTTTGCCTTCCTGTTACTGTGGTGTCGCAGAAGATGTTAGAGGTGACGGGGCTCTCTACCTCACTGGAGAGTGTTCAACCTTGGTGTTTATTGGCCATGAAACTCAGAGCTGCAAGTGAAAGCAGTATACAAAAATATATACATAAATAGGTAAGCTAGCAAATACTTCTTAATATCATATTTGTATACAGGCTCTATCCTGCTTTCTTTCTGTTTTGATATAATTTTATTAGACAGACACCATTTAGGTTTTAGTTCTTTTTCACTGCAGGATAAGGAGGTTTAGCCAGCTGAACCTCTGATGGACTAAACAGGGTTCTTGTTTCAGAGCTGAATAGAAGAAAAATTTTCTGGTAATTAAACAAAAAAACCCCAAAAACAACCAACCAAAGCAAACAAAAAACCCCAAGACTATCTGGCCAAATACCTGTTACAGCTCACTCATCCCTATCCAGAGACAGAGCTAAGAATTACTACTAATAGTGTTATTTATTGATTGATTGCTAGCAGTGATTATTTTTGAACTGAGTTTTAAATTGTACTGTGCAAGAAGCATAGAAGCCTGGCTTTTCTGACCATGGCTGTCTTTCTGCAAGCTACCTGTCCAGGTAACAGTGAGGAGCACGTTGT